GAACGCAGCAGAAGGAATCTCACCACCCCAAGCAATTACTTGGGTGGCTAGGTGGTTGAGCTTGCTCTGGTGGAAACAGAGCTGTCCTATCCGTGTACAGTGTTAAGCGTTCTGCAGGCATTTTGATGAAAGAATAATTAAGCACATACTTAGGGTTTGTGTGTTAAAGATGTGCGATGGTTACAGAGAACATTTAATTTGGGCTGAGTAACAAAGCAGAGATCAGTTAATGAGTATATTTGGGGGGGGGGGGAATCTAATGCAAATTTGAGTGATGTTCTATCCGTAGTTTGAAGCTGAAATGAATCAACCAGAGAAAAGAGATGTTCTAGTAATTAATAAATGCCAGCAGGAAAGCTATTATTCTTTCCAGCTTGCTGCTATATACAATTGATTTCATCAACAGGCCTCAGCAGGATATGCATTAGAAAGCTGTTGGTGCACATTTTGAGGGTGCTGTTGAGAAACATCCTGAAGATTTTACCTTCCACCTGACAAATGCTCCAAGCTAACATTGTAATTCTATGCCCATCTACTCAGTGGGACTTATTTCCAGGTATGTAAGTAGGTATAGGATTGCAGCTTAGTTGTTCTCTATAATATTTTAGGGAAACAAAGGGAATTGATCATCATGAGGTGAATTGCACACATGGAACATGGAGGAAATTTGAAGTGCATCATGCCATTTGCTAGTAAATAGGACATGGGTGGCGCTGTGGGTTAAACCACAGAGCCTAGAGCTTGCCGATCAGAAGGTTTGCGGTTCAAATCCCCGCAACGGGGTGAGCTCCCATTGCTTGGTCCCTGCTCCTGCCAACCTAGCAGTTCGAAAGCACATCAAAGTGCAAGTAGATGTGCTTCCAGCTCCGGTGGGAAGGTAAACAGCGATTCCGTGTGCTGCTCTGGTTCGCCAGAAGCGGCTTAGTCATGTTGGCCACATGACCCAGAAGTTGTACACCGGCTCCCTCAACCAATAAAGTGAGATGAGCACCACAACCCCAGAGTCATCCGCAACTGGACCTAATGGTCAGGGGTCCCTTTACCTTTAGGACTGGTTAAATTTATCCAGATTTCTTCTTTTCTGCGATGGGTACAGTTCTTAGCAATGGATAAAATAGTAATTAACTGGGGAAAAGTATTGTTGAAGTGTCTTAAAATATTCAGGTTCTTCTTTCTGTCCATAAACACAGGAGTTGGTGGCTTGATCAGGAACATCTACCTTCAGTCAGTACTCATTAAATCTAAAAAATGAATTGTTGTCCATATATGGTTCCTCGTTATGTCTTTTTGTATCTTCTGGCTTGATTTTAAAAAGGTACCCAATGTAGTGTTTTGCAGATGGGAATATATGTGGTTCTTTGCTGTTTCCATTAGTTCTATGGAGCAGAGGTTGCAGACTTCAAAATGATTGTAAGAGAGCATAACCCCTGTTACGGTAAAATCTGGGTGCGGGGTTACTCTGCCACCCAGCTCGTCGGACTGAGTCCGCGGGTCCCTGCGGGAGAAAATGAGCTCAGCCGGAGACGGGAGCAAGTTCCAGGAAATCCAAGTTTATTGCGCAACAGGTTCAAGATGAAATTGAACCCCGAGTAAGGGGTGACAGGAGTTTTGAAACTTCCCTCCATGTCCCATAATACAGTGCAAAACGCGTCATGAATACATTACAAAGAGGTTGGGTTACATGGGTGACATCACAGAGAGGTTGGGTTACACGGATTAGCATAGAGGACAGGGAGGAGGGAATATGCAGAGCTGAAGATATGCATAGATAAGCACTTCCTGAGTACCGGTGATGAGAAGACAATGGTCCGAATATGTAAAGTCTGCCACCTGGTATTGCCCGGAGGAAGGGCTGGGCGAGGTGATCTGACCAGATTAAGGTCTTCCTGAGTACGTGACTCCTCGCTCGAGGGATTATGGAGTCCTGGAAAGGCTGAGTCGATTGACACCAGAACCAAGGAAATCGGAGAAGGGGTTGATTTTATATGAATTTAAGAAGTTTTCAGTCTATTTCGTCCATTCTTACAATAATAATAGAAAACGGAAACAAACTAGATACATTTGACAGTTTTACGAGCTAAACTGGATACATTGTAACAGGGTTTGACAGTTTTACGAGGTTACGAGTTTCGATTCCATTGTTCTCTCAGCGGGGAGCTGTCAGCAGCTTGTCAAGAGGTTAAATGAGGCGTGCAGAGGCTCGCTGAGCTGGTTCTGCAGAGCAGATGCACGTATCTGATTGGTCAATACGCGGCCATTGGAACAAGCGGGGATGTATTTTGACACGGTCGACTCATAATAAAGATGGAGCGAGAGAAGGGATAGGGGCTTGGGAGTTTTGGGCTTATTTCGCCCGTGGAAAAGGGGAAAAGGGTTGTGTGTGGTGCTTGTGCGACAGTGAAGAGGCTGGGGAAGGGGTGCAGAGTGCAGTGGGCGCTCTTGAGGTCATCGTTTCGGACGTAGGAGGGGCACCCCCCCATTTCCGTATCAGTCCCCCATTCGGAGATAGATTTGCATCAAAGTTCTGCAAGAACTTGCAAATCCTTTCTCCGCACCTAGATCTGAGTGATCTCGTATTCCCCTTCCCCTAAATGCCTCATCTGTACATATTCTGGGAAAGTAGGGGTACGCTGTGAGCGGGAATACGCTCGGAGTGAGAGAGAGGTAGCTTGAGTCGGGCAGCGAAGAAGGGAACAGCAGGGAGGAATACAATGTATGGCACAACAGAGGGTCAGGACACAAAGGATAACAATTAAAACAGTAGAAATTACGACTTTCAGTAACTGTCGGAGCCATCCTAACTTGGGTAACCATCCCCACAAGTCTACATCGGACAGCCCTTCATGTTGTATATCTTGTAGCTTTCCTGCTAGTTCATGGATATTATTTAAATGTCCAGTTATATTGAGGGATTGATCGGTTACATATGTACAACACTCAGCTCCTATTAGGGCGCATGTCCCTCCTTGACTAGACAGCAGGAAATCGGTTGCAATCCTGGTCTGTAGACTGAGTTGTCTTACCTCGGATAGTTCGGACACCAGGGAGTCGGTAATCTGGGTGGCTTCTTGCATAAATTTGAGGAGAATGTCTGTAAGGCGAAGAATGTCTACATGGTTAGATCCGGCTCCATAGGCGGGAAAGAGGGCACGGCCTACGGTTTCTCCATTTGCAGCAACGTCTGAGAGGTCTGACAGCTGTTTTGGTCCCTTTTATTCCTCTGTCTTCCGGGGGGGCAGGTGTGGGACAACTCTAATTCCGGGGACGATGTACCCCACAAAACAGGAGCCCGACATGTGTGGGCTCACCCAAGTATATGCACGGTGTCCGCAAATCCAGAATAAGCCACTGAGGTAAGATTCCATCCTTCCTGAAGCAAAAGTCTGTAACAGCATAAAGTCTGTGAGTTGCGGTTGCCAGGTGGGGGGTTGGCTGACAGCAGTAGCCCATGCAATGGTGAGATTGGGGAAGGTCTGGGAACCACGTGGGTCAGTGATGGTGACTTGGCCATCGGCTAGGATTTCTAAGTCAGTATTGCAGGTACTGGATCCGATGAAGGTTCCCTCTCCAGTGAAACTGCGGCAAAGGGGTCCTTTCGTGGGGCCGGTGAGGTACAGATATTGGTGTGTTAGATTTAATGCAGTTAGGTTCCAGGAGACGACATCTCCGGAGCGAAATTGTTCTAAGGTCACTGGCACCGGGACCAGGGGTAGACTCTGTTGAAGGTGGCTGGGAGCATGAGCGCAAATCCAGCAATCGGGGTATGGTGCTTCTTTAGCGACCTGGCTGAGAAGTTTGATGTAGGAGTTCTGTTCCCAGGAGGAAAGAAGGTCGTCTCCTGGGAGGGCAGGTGCAGGGCCTAGTCGTCGAGGTGCAGTGCCAAATGGGTGGAGTGGGTCAGAGGTATTTAGGAGCCGCCTATCCCGGGCAATGCCGCCGCACCTCAGAGGCCCAACGTTGTCCCATGAAGGAGAGCGTGAGGGGTGTATGGGATGGTGCCACCCTTCTAGGTAGTCGGCTCCCTTCCAATCACGGGTGACTCCCAAGTTCCAAAGGCAGCAGAATCGTCTGAGGCAAAGTCCTTGGAGTTGGGGCTTGTGGGGTTTTGGGGTCGTGAGGAGGCACTGGAACCCAAAGATCAAGTTCTCGGAGGGGTGATTGGGGTCTGTGTATACGTGGGAGGCCGTTCCCAGTTCGGCCTCGGTCCAGTTAGGGCTGCGTGTGACTTCTCCGTTGTTATAGAGTAGGTAAGTTCCATTATAACATTTCAGCCGGTAAAAGGAGTGATCAAGTGTGAGGGCAGCTGACCCGATGCGACGTAAGTCCTTATCTCGGATGAAGAGTTCCCAGTATGCGCTGTCGGTGAGCCGGGGTACCAGGGAATGACGCAGTAGAGTTCGAGATTCTGGAAGGCAGAACTCAAAGTCCCCCATTCGGTCCGGGTTGGACTTCCCTCCCGTTTCGACCTTGTGATAGTCGAGGAAATGGTAGTCTGTTTGTAGTCCAGTGCAGTGGCTCAACGAGGAAGGTGTTGTCGCAGTCAGGGTGACAAGGAGGATGAGAGCAGTGGTGGGGTTCATGACTCCTGGCGGGGGGTAGTTGAAGCTGCGGATCGAGTTGTCAGACGCAGGCGAGAGTAGTCTGTGGAGCCGTCAAACGAGCTGTCAAACGAGCTGACAAAAGCGAGCAACAGCAGTCTATGGAGCTGTCAAACGAGCTGTCAAACGAGCTGTCAAAGGCAAGTAATAGCAGTCTATGGAGCTGTCAAGCGAGCTGTCAAACGAGCTGTCAAAGGCAAGTAATAGCAGTCTATGGAGCTGTCAAGCGAGCTGTCAAACGAGCTGTCAAAGGCAAGTAATAGCAGTCTATGGAGCTGTCAAACGAGCTGTCAAACGAGCTGTCAAAGGCAAGTAATAGCAGTCTATGGAGCTGTCAAACGAGCTGTCAAACGAGCTGTCAAAGGCAAGTAATAGCAGTCGATGGAGCTGTCAAACGAGCTGTCAAAGGCACTTAAGGCGAAGTTTGATGGCGTTGGAGTCTGGGACGATCTCGGACGTCCAGTTAGGTGCTGTAACGTCCGGTCTGGCGTGTTGGGTCGGAACTTGGCTCTGATCAGGTCCGGTCTGTTGGGCCCGATCTTGGCCCCGATCTGGTCCGGTCTGTTGAGCCCGATCTTGGCCCCGATCTGGTCCGGTCTGTGCCTCGTCGTCGTCGATGTAGGTAGCCGGCGAGTGGGGTGGGGTCTCGTAGGCGTAGTCCTCCTCGGGGTTTTCTAGCGTCTCTTGGGGTGGTGGGGATGTTTTGCACCTCGTGTGATGTAGCCACGCGTTTTTCTCTCCCACTTTCACGGCAGTCGGGGAGGTCAGTAGTACTTGGTAAGGACCTTCCCACGCAGGTTGGAGCGGCGCCTTCTGATAGACCTTAACGAGGATCCAGTCGCCGGGATGGAAAGAGTGGGCATGGACGTCAATAGGCAGGTTTTGTCCCTCGATAGCCGCGTACTGGTGGAGGCGTAGTAGCTGTGTCTGAAGCTGAATAATATAGTTAGTGAGTTCCGCCTCCCCCACGTCCAGTTCTGAGAGAGGAAACAAGGTGTTGTATACGGGAGGGGGTCTCCCGAATAGAAGTTCGAATGGGGAAAGTTTCAAAGGTCCTGTTGGGGCACTTCGTATATTATGAAGGACCAGTGGGAGTGCATTTACCCATTTCAGCCCCGAGAGTCTACAGAGTTTTCCCAGTTGCATTTTTATCTCCTGGTTCATACGTTCTACTTGACCAGAGGACTGTGGGTGGTACGGTGTATGAAGGTCCCACTTTATTTGGAGGGCTTTGGCCACCAATTGTACCACTTCTGCAGTGAAGTGAGTTCCCCTGTCACTGTCTAGGCGGCGGGGTATCCCATATCGAGGAATGATGTCTTGAAGGAGGGCCCTAGCGACTACCGATGCGGTGGCCTTTCGACAGGGGAATCCCTCCACCCAAGAGGAAAATTGATCTATTATAATCAGGGCATGCTTGAAGCCTTGGCATTGGGGTAAGTCGATAAAGTCTAGCTGTAAACTCTCAAAGGGGACAAAGGCCCACGGTCTAGCTCCTGGTGGTTTCCTTTTGGGCTCACGTTTGGGGTTGAAGTGATGGCAGGTAATGCAGTTCTTGGAGGCTGCCGTAGCTGCGGTGGCTATCCCTGGGGCGTACCAGGACCTCGTGACGTGGTCTATTAATCTCCATTTTCCCCAGTGAGTCTGTTGGTGGAGGATTCTCACTAATTTTGGAACCCAGGCTCTTGGAAGGACTGTCCTGCCATCGGGGAGGGTCCAAATACCATTCTGTTCAGTTGCGCCCACGGATTCCCATTTTGATTTTTCCTCCTCTGGGGCTGAATCATATATTTGTGTTGCGTCTATGTCTGTAGGTAATTGTAAGGCTTGAAATTCGGACTCATTATTTGGGGGGCGAAGGGCAGCAATTTGGGCAGCTTTATCAGCCCGTCTGTTTCCCTTTGAGACCGGGTCCCTCCCTTTGGTGTGTGCTTTACAGTGGACTACTGCTATTGCACTCGGTAAGTGAATGGCTGTAAGAAGTCTCTCTACTAGGGCGGCGTGTGAAATTTGGGAGCCGGCTGCAGTTAAGAAGCCCCTTTGAAGCCAAATTTGACCGGTTGTGTGTACGAGCCCGAAGCAGTATTTACTGTCCGTGTAAATGGTGGTTCTCTTCCCTTCGCCAAGTTCACAAGCACGTATGAGTGCAATTAATTCAGCGGCTTGGGCGCTATACTGTGGGTTAATTGGGTTGGATTCCAGGACTTCAAAGTCAGAGACGACTGCGTACCCTGTCTTCCTTTCCCCTTCGATGACCTTAGAGCTGCCATCTGTGTACAGTATGAGGTCGGGGTTTTCTAAGGGAAGGTGGTCTAGATCCTCCCGCGGTTTCTCGGCTTGGCGGACTATGGTAGCGCAGTCGTGGTGTGGGGTGCCATCATCAGGAAGGGGTAATAGGGTAGCTGGATTCAGGGAATTGACGCGTTTGATGGTGACGTTAGATGGGGTTAATAGAAGGGCTTCGTATCGGTTTAGGCGAGAGTTTGAGAAGTGATGACAACCCCTCAAGGTCAAGAGGGTGGAGACCGAGTGGGGAACATGGATGGTAATTTCATGTCCCAAGACTGTTTCCTGGGCTTTCTCAAGGAGGATCGCAGCGGCGGCAATAGCTCTTAAACAACTCACTGCTCCCTTTGCGGTGTTGTCTAGTTGTAGACTGTAATAGGCTACTGGTCTTTCCTGATCTCGGAAGGGTTGGGTTAGGACCCCTGAGGCGACTCCCATTTGTTCATGGATGAACAGGTTAAAAGGAGTCCGGTAGTCTGGCAGTCCTAAAGCAGGAGCGGACCTTAATTCTCTTTTTAAGCGTTCGAAGGATTTATAAGCTTCCTCTTCCCAGACCAAGGTATCTGGGTGGTCTTGGCGGGTCATAGCGGTTAAAGGCTTCGTTATTTCGCTATAGCCGGCAATCCATGCTCGGCAGAAGCCTGCCATACCAAGGAAGCCGCGTAATTGCCGCTTAGTCTTAGGGAGGGGAATTCTGGTAACGGCCTCGATTCTGTCGGTGGCTAGGCTTCGGGTACCAACTCCTAGGATGTGCCCGAGGTATTTTACTTCCTGTTTACAATATTGTAACTTCTTAGGGGACACCTTGTGTCCTTTCCGGGCTAGTTCTGAGAGGAGATATTTAGTGTCTAATTTGCATGCCTCTTCACTAGTAGAGCACAATAAAATATCATCTACGTAGAGAAGGAGGGCGGAGTTAGCAGGCAGGCACACGTCCTGTAGGTCCTGGTGTAATATGGCGGAAAAGATCGCGGGTGATTCTACGTAGCCTTGGGGCAGCCTTGTCCAAGTTAGCTGGCTGGGTCCCCAGGTAAATGCAAAAAGGAATTGGCTGGCGGGGTCCAAGGGTATACTGAAGAAGGCGGAGCATAGATCCGCTGCAGAGTACCAGGTTGTTCCCGCCGGGATGGCATTTAAGAGGGAGTTAGGGTTGCCCACGACTGGGTGGCGGGGTATTACGAATTGGTTTACCAGTCTCAGGTCTTGGACAAAACGGTACCGGACTGGGGCTCCTTCTGTGGAGGGTTTCTTTATGGGGAGCACTGGGGTGTTACAAGGTGACGCACAGGGAACAAGGATCCCTTTGCTGAGGAAATCTTCTATCATAGGTGTCAGTCCGTCGATTGCTTCTTTGGGTAGAGGGTATTGCTTGGTGCAAGGGAAGGGCCGATCAGTTCTATAGGTAATCGTTACCGGGGTGGCAGATAATAGCAATCCTACAGAAGTTGATTCCGTGCCCCACAGTGAAGGAGGTAATTCATTCTCTAGTTCTGGGGGAAGTTCGGGAAACTGGCGATCTAATTTTTCCTCTAATACCATGCCTTGAAAGGCAGGGACAGAGTCTTCGGGCATGTACAGGTAGATGCCATCTTCAGAACATTTTATGGTGGCATTGAGTTTGCAGAGTAGGTCTCTGCCAAGGAGATTCACTGGGCTGCTCGTTAGGAGGAAGGTGTGTTCCGCCAATAAGGGTCCGAGGGTGACTTTGGCCGGTTGTGAGAGAGGGCAAGTGCGGGGTATCCCGTCCAGTCCCATAACTTTCTTGGTTTCTGACCCGGGTTCTAGGTGGCTGCTAGTCAGGGTCGAGTATGTAGCTCCCGTATCTAATAAACATCGATAGGGGTGGCCATCGATCTCAATCGTGCAGATAGGGTCATCTGGCGATAATGCTAGGACAGGGTAGATGGCTTGGGCCGGACTGAGATTCCCCTTTAATTGTCAGTATGTGTCTTGATCTTCAGGAGGTGGCTGGTTGGGGGTGTAAGGGAGGAGCGGTGGCATTTGCCCAAGAATGAGTGGCTGGAGTCATAGCGGGCATTTGAACCTGTGTGCCCGGTTGAGGTCGGTGGTTTGGAGGTGCTTGCATAGTGGGTTGTTGGTTGCCATATCCCTGGGTTATGTTGGAATGTGGGCGCATCGGGAAAGGAGGATAATTGGTCTGAGCCGGAAAGGGTTTAGAGCCTTGTACTCCATAGGTTGTGGTGTTTAGGTAGGGGCAAAACCTCTTTATGTGTCCCTCTTCTTGGCAGTAATAGCATCCTCCGGTGTTGGGTCCCCATGGTCTGTGGGGAGCGGGGGGACCTCCTCCCCGGCCCCTCTTCCTCGGTTAAAACTTCTGCCCCGGCTGGAGTTAGGCTCCATGCTCAGCGCTAAGATGTGTTCAGTCTCAGGTTTTGCTTCCTTTCGTTTCCTTTCATCCCGAGAGTTATAAACTGATTTGGCGATGGATAAGATTTCGCTAACGCTCTTCCCATCATATCCTATTTGGAGATTCAGGGCTTTTCTTATATCTGGGCTGGCCTGGTCTTTGAAGAAACCCTTAACGATTACTTCATGTTGGGGGTTCTCCGGGTCTATCCCTCCCCAGGTCTTGATGGCGGAGACCAATCTAGTGTAATAATCCGATGGATGTTCATTTGGTCCCTGTAGTACAGTTTGGACCTTGGTCCAGTTGACAGTACGCTGTCCAGCGGCTTTTACACCGTCTAAGATAGCCCTTTTAAATAGATTTAAGCACCAAATCCCGTTGGTGGTATTGTAATCCCATGTAGGTTCTATACGCAGGCACTGGGCTGAGAGGGCCGCTAATGCCGCGGGGCGTCCCCTCTGGTAGTCCGGTGACTCTATGGCCTCTCCAGCTTTGGTCAGAATGTCCGCCTTTTCAGCTTCATTGAATAGGGCGTTTAAAAGAACGTGGACATCTGGCCAAGTGGGGTTGTGAGTGGAAAAGATGGCGCTGATCTGGCGATGGCATTTATCTGGGTCATCCCTTAGAGAGGGCATTTGATTTGACCAGGTTACTAGGTCGGCAGTATAAAAGGGCTGGTGCGTATAAACCATCCGGGAGCCCCGTCGGGTTGGATGGGCGGAATCGGTAGGGCCCTTAGGGGCATCTGGACCGCTGTGGAACTTTCCTGTCCAGAAGTTCCCGGGGTTTCTTCGGTTTCTTCTATAGGGCGCTCTGTAAGGCTACGGGTTTCTACGATGGGGTTGTTCTTTCTGGCTTGTAACCTCGTGAGCCTCTGGTTCTTACTTCCTCGTGCCCCTCCATCCCCCGTTTCTTCGTCACTATCCGAGCTATCGCTAGGGATGGGTGGTGTCGGTTCCCCATAGTAGAAGGGAACCAGGGCTTGTTCTACTGTATCATCAGCGAAGTGTCCTTCGTAAGGGGGCATAGGCTGCCTTCCGGGATTTAATATGGGCAGCTGATACGATGGTGCTCCCTTGGAGACTTGGAGTAATCCTTTAACTGTCTCGAAGGCTGCCAAATATTCTAACTGGCGGGGTTTTTCTTCCATTAAGTGTCTCCTTAGGTGTTTCAGTCGGTCTTCGTTAAACGAACCTCCTTTGGGCCAACGTAATTCTGGTCGGGCGGAAGTGGTGTTGGCGGGCCAGATTTCTGTGCAGAGGTTCTCTAGTTTTTGCTTCGATAGAAGTTTGTGGCCAGGAATCGACTTCCAATGGATGATTACAAATTCGAGAGGAGAGTCAGGGTCCCTCTGGGATCGGGATGGCTTTCTAGAAGCCTTCCTCCCAAAGTGAGCCCGCTCGTGCTTGGAAGCCTGGGTACCCATTTTATGGTTCACGCGTGTCTGGGTAGAAAAAAGGGAGAGAGATATAGGGTCGGTAAGGGTTTATAGGGGCCCGGGTATCTTTCTCGTTGCTTGGCAACCTCTTGACGATTTAGTGAGCTCTTAATATTTAGTTCTCTTTTCCTAATTTCCTCCTTGTCCTTAATTAACAATCAGGGGTCCCTTTCCACTCTGCCAAACCCGCCCAATTCCTCATGAGCTATCCCTCCTGGCAACCTCCTACCTAGCGTTACAATCTCAGAAAAGGGAGCCCTACTGGACGCCCGCGCTGTGCGGTGCCAGATCGGGTGGTCCCCGGATAGGTTTCCGAATCGAAAATCCCCCTTGCTTTCGGAAGCGGGCTCACGATGCACGTGGTCCGACCGGTGCGGCTGGGATTGGGATAGAAAAGCTAGACCACTTCCTGCCTCCTAGGAAGGACGCTCGGGAAGCTCGGAAAGAGAACTCCAACCCCTTGCTTTCAACTGAGATGCCCGTTGCGGAGAGTCGGCTTATTTTGAAGTCGGTTCTCTCCGTCTTACTTTCGGGCTCCCAATTGGTGCGGCTGGCTGGAGGGTTCAGAAAAGAGATAGAGCTCAGAACCCCCCTTTCGGGTCGAGCGGTGGTCCACGGTCTTTCTCGCTAACCGGACCAAGAGAAAGGTGAGAAGGAACGATAGAGAGGAGGGCAGAGAATTCAGTTGCCAGGAGACTTCCACCCCTACCCACCAGTGCACTGGATTTTCCTATACTCACGCGTCTTCTACGATGATCCCGGGATCGATGAATAAGCCGGCTGGATCCCTCTTTGCTCCCCGGCTGAACTCCTAGGGCTTTCGATTACCGCCCGGAAGATGGCCGGAGGTCCAAAAGGATCTTCCCAGGCAAAATGGCCCGGAGCCGGCTGAAGATTTCGGGGGCCCGGTCAGCAGTTCGGGAGAACCGCCAGCCCCACGTTGGGCGCCAACTGTTACGGTAAAATCTGGGTGCGGGGTTACTCTGCCACCCAGCTCGTCGGACTGAGTCCGCGGGTCCCTGCGGGAGAAAATGAGCTCAGCCGGAGACGGGAGCAAGTTCCAGGAAATCCAAGTTTATTGCGCAACAGGTTCAAGATGAAATTGAACCCCGAGTAAGGGGTGACAGGAGTTTTTGAAACTTCCCTCCATGTCCCATAATACAGTGCAAAACGCGTCATGAATACATTACAAAGAGGTTGGGTTACATGGGTGACATCACAGAGAGGTTGGGTTACACGGATTAGCATAGAGGACAGGGAGGAGGGAATATGCAGAGCTGAAGATATGCATAGATAAGCACTTCCTGAGTACCGGTGATGAGAAGACAATGGTCCGAATATGTAAAGTCTGCCACCTGGTATTGCCCGGAGGAAGGGCTGGGCGAGGTGATCTGACCAGATTAAGGTCTTCCTGAGTACGTGACTCCTCGCTCGAGGGATTATGGAGTCCTGGAAAGGCTGAGTCGATTGACACCAGAACCAAGGAAATCGGAGAAGGGGTTGATTTTATATGAATTTAAGAAGTTTTCAGTCTATTTCGTCCATTCTTACAATAATAATAGAAAACGGAAACAAACTAGATACATTTGACAGTTTTACGAGCTAAACTGGATACATTGTAACAGGGTTTGACAGTTTTACGAGGTTACGAGTTTCGATTCCATTGTTCTCTCAGCGGGGAGCTGTCAGCAGCTTGTCAAGAGGTTAAATGAGGCGTGCAGAGGCTCGCTGAGCTGGTTCTGCAGAGCAGATGCACGTATCTGATTGGTCAATACGCGGCCATTGGAACAAGCGGGGATGTATTTTGACACGGTCGACTCATAATAAAGATGGAGCGAGAGAAGGGATAGGGGCTTGGGAGTTTTGGGCTTATTTCGCCCGTGGAGAAGGGGAAAAGGGTTGTGTGTGGTGCTTGTGCGACAGTGAAGAGGCTGGGGAAGGGGTGCAGAGTGTAGTGGGCGCTCTTGAGGTCATCGTTTCGGACGTGGGAGGGTGGACCCCCCCCCCCCCCTTACCGTATCACCCCCCAAACAAGTAACTAGATGTTCCTGAATGCCCTTTGCTTTATTCAGTGCAAGTGGGTGTTTACGTTTTGGCACTGTGGGAAATGAAGTGTGCTGTATGGAGGTACTTTCAGAGAAAATCTCTCTCCCTGCTACGCGTCAGTTTCACTGTGTGACATCTAACAGAAACATTTTCAGCAGTATTTGGAACATAATGTTTAGAGAATGACACAAATAGGCATACTTTGAACCCACTCTCTTGCCTGTAAATAGTTTTAAAGATAGAATGTTGCACTGTGCTATGAAATACTGCCTTGGTTTTATTGTTTTTTGCGTGTTGATAGTTGTTAGTTTCACGCTTTTTAATTTACATAAGGGGTAGGGAACCTCAAGCCTGGGGTTGAATATCCACTCTTTGGCGCTCAAGACTCTTCCCTTACCATGCCTCCTTCTGAGGCCACATACCCCTCACCTGCTCTGATCCATACCCTCCTCAAGTGCTTTGTCAGACTGGATTGTGTCCCTGAAATGTGATGGTGCTTCTTTGACTTTGGCACAGCTGAAATGTGGGAAACTGTACAAAGGTAAGAGGCATATTTCGTTCTCCCTCCCCCTTTTATATACTCTGGTTCCACGCACTACTGGCATGCAGTCCCTGGAAGATTTTCTATGATGAAGTGTAGTCCTCTGGCTGGTACTTATTTGCATTGCATCTCTCATTTTCGCTAAGGGACACGGGTGGCACTGTGGGTGAAACCACAGAGCCTAGGACTTGCTGATCAGAAAGTTGGCGGTTCAAATCCCCGTGACGGGGTGAGCTCCCGTTGTTCGGTCCCAGCTTCTGCCAACCTAGCAATTCGAAAGCACGTCAAAGTGCAAGTAGATAAATAGGTACAGCTCCGGCGGGAAGGTAAATGGCGTTTCCGTGTGCTGCTCTGTTTCCCCAGAAGCAGCTTAGTCATGCTGGCCACATGACCCGGAAGCTGTCTGCGGACAAATGCCGGCTCCCTCGGCCAATAAAGTGAGATGAGTGCCACAACCCCAGAGTCGGTCACAACTAGACCTAATGGTCAGGGGTCCCTTTACCTTTACCTATCATTTTCACTTAAATGCCCTTTGTGAAAATAGGTTACTGATTTCTTGCATTCTTTTGTCTTTGAATTAAGGAGACTACACAGTACAACTTCAGCACAGGGTTTCAGATGCTAAGCTGTGGAAGCCATTTGCAGGAGGAAGTTGGCAGGCACATGCAAGGTTAAACACCCCCTCCTAAGGCAAGTAGTGCCTGCCTGTATTTCCTTACAAACCTTATCTTTGCATTTGTGTTATTTCAGCCAACACAAGTTTGGTAACATGTACCGTATTTTTCGCTCCATAAGACACAGCTGACCATAAGACACACCAATTTTTAGAGGAGGAAAACAAGAAAAAAAAAAATTATGAACAAAACTGGATGTGTGATTTTTGTGGTTCATGCTGTGGCCACAGACATGTGATCTGATGGTGAATTTGGGGTGACCCATTGCAAAAATCCTTAGGATCCATGTGGATCTGTGCTTTGTAATCACGTTTTTACACCTTTGCAGCCCCACGAAACAGTGGATGCGTGATTTTTTTGGTGCAGGCTGTAGCCATGGACATGCTATGTGATCTGATGGTGAATTTGGGGTGACCAATTTAAAAATCCTGAGGATCCATGGGCTTTTACCTCCCCCCTTCCAGGTAGCCTCCACTAGCATCCCTTATCTCTCTCCTGATCCCACTGATCAGCTGTTTCCTTTCAACACTCCCTTCCCTCTTGTTTGCCTTAGTGTCTTTTCCTTAGCTGGAGCAGTTTTTTGCTCCTCCTTTTCTTCTAATTTCTCTCCTTATTGCTTTAGTCTTCCTGTTTCCCCCCTTTGCAAGTTTGCTGTCTTTACCTCCCCCCTCCCAGGCAGCCTCCTTTATCTCTAGCATCCCTTATTTCTCTCCCTGATTGGCAAACAATCAGTGGCTTTGTTTCAACACCCACTTCCCTCTTTCCAAAAAAAAAGCACGATCTGCTTTTTGCCCCTGGGCAATTCGGCTCCAGGGACCATGCATTCGCTCCATAAGACGCAAAGACATTTCCCCTTACTTTTTAGGAAGAAAAAAAGTGTGTCTTATGGAGTGGAAAATACGGTATTTGCCATGGTACCATGTAGTTCTGAGTTGGTAACACATTACATAAAATACTCATTTAAACAAGCTCTAAAAGATAACTCCTCATATT